CAGTAAAGTGCAAGGAAAAATGCCACTTCTCTAGAGTTCTTTCCATTCCTTTTCTGTGCTTCAAGCATATCATTCATATATGTTTGAAGTGTGCTGTTTAATTTTTTCTACCTTTGAAAAGCTCCTGAGGGTCCTTTTGAAAGGTCAGAACCAGAAGCAGCTTTATCAATGGAGGCTGAGGACTTTTTTGCAAACCAATCTGTAGGCCGAGCAGTTAGGTGCTCCTGGGCGCCTCTGTGGGACCTGCCCAGGGGAGCAATGTAGCCTGCAAGGGATTCTTAGTGCCATTTGAAGCAGCCATAAACCCTGCGTAGGTACACAGGGAACTAGCATATCTAGGCAGTGACAAACTTGAAGCTATATTCTCAATTTTCCCCTAGAAACAGACATCGGTCTTGAAATCTGTAAGAGAAAGCAGATCAGAAACATTACAACAGGAGGCTGAAGGCAGAATGTCACCTCACCTGTAGTCATATGAAATAGCAAGTGTTTCCATGAAACGTGTGTGAGAGAGAACTGAGACCAAGGACACGGGTGCTGGAGAGACTGGGTGATGCAGGATGGTGCAGTTACAGAGGAGACACCATCTGAAGTTCAAATCGAACATCTGAAATTCACCCTAAAATCACTCCATCAGGAAACACCATGCATATACATTTTATAGTAAAAAGGTAAAAAGTACCAGAATCGGATTTTTCTGCTTCTGGGAAGTTATGATCTAAATATGTTTGGACATTCACAAATTCCTGCATGAAAATAAAGGATGTAGCTTCAGAGTTGAGGCTCTAAGATGCCACCAAATAAACACTGTCTAGTAGGCAGAACATAAAATGCTGCTTGAGTAATTAAAATGACAGCAGAAGCATAGCAGTGAGCCAAGAAGACATACTTCACATCTTTCCATTTACACAAAGTCATGCCCAACTCATACTGGATTATCTCTGTTACAATAAACTGGGTTTATTTTACTATTTGGCATCAGAGGACCCTTATATAAATCTCCCTGTCATTTTATAAAAGATTTTCATTGGTTTTCTCACCTTCTCTTGACTACCCTCATACATGCAGTTTGTATCCACCACAGATCACTTCTGATACACCTTATTATATACTCTCCTCAAAGGATACATGAAGAGAGAGACAAAAACACCCAAGACCTAAAAGTAGCTATGATTATTTTTTGTTGTCATGTGCCATGGAGTCGAACCAACTCATAGCGACCCCTCCTTGGGTTTCGAGGCTGTATCACTATGGAAGTAGATTGCCCAACCTTCCTTCTGAGGAGTGGCTCTTGGGTTTGAACCTCCAGCCTTCTGGTTAGCAGTAAAGTGCCTTAGACACTATGCTACCAGAGCTCCTTGATTATGTTTTAGAGATGAAATTTCCATTTAAGCAAAAACTAATATTATTAGTTTAATTCTTTTTTAAGTATATTTAAGTAATCTATCTTTTGCTGAGGTTGAAGAAAGGGAAGTTTCCCAATTTACTAACTTTGATTACCCTGAGAGATTATGCTATGTGAAATGTACCTCTTCTCTGATAACCAGGGCTTTAAAAAATATTAAGAAGTTCTGCTTGAATTTCTACCTTTCTTTTTTTTTTTTTTTTTTATTTTATTTTGATTTGGGTGAAGATTTACAGCGTAAATTCACTTTTCATACAGCAGTTCACATAATATACTTTGTCTCATGTCATTGACCAAAATTTACAATGCAACAGCTCTCCTCCCACTTCCTCCCTATAGTTACCTCTTCCCAGTGTCCATCCCTCCATACACTTCTGCGCCCTGAGCTGTCTCCCTGTGCATAAGCAGCCCTTCCTTCTCCCATGATTGTTCTCTCCAGGGCGTGTGTCTACTTGAGGTAAATGTTTAATTTACATGCCCGTACTTTGTTTAGCTGGAAACCACAGGTGTGGCTTCATTGAATTTCTACCTTTCTTACTAAGGACTTTTAATAACATTTCACTGAATTCTTAGTTTCTTCCTTTCTTGCAAGCAACTCCTGTCAAACCTTCCCAATCATCTTGTCAAACCCCAGAAGTCATTTTGCTTCTGGGCTAACTAGCAAGACCTGTAATCATCATCCACTGAGAATAAAATCCTTCCTTATAGGTAGAAATCTCTGCCCACGTTAAGCCTTAGGTTTACCTGATTTCCCAGTTGGAAGCAGCAGTAGCCGACTCACTTCTAGCCCATTACTTTGTGCAGTCCTCAAGCCTGACCAATGGAAGCCTAGTTTCCACTCCAGCCACCCTTGGGTCTTTCTTAAGGTACCTTACCCAACACAAATTCATTCAACAAGTACCTCTTGAGCACCCATGATGTACTAAGCACTGTCCTAGTCACTGAGGGACAGCAGTGATAGCCTCTCCTCTCCCTGGTGACCTCTCCTCCTTCTCCTTGACTCCCAGGGTTCACCATGAATCTGCCTTTCTTGAGCAAGGGAGGTACCTCACAGTCTCTGATTCACTTGGTTGTTCCTTACCTGTTTTGGGATCACAGCTGAAGTGAACAAAAGATATTAAAAAAAAAAAAAAAAAAAATGCCCACCCCCCATGGGGAGGATATTCTAGTGAAATGCAGGCAACCTCAATCTGAAACATGGCAAAGATGCTCTCTGTAAAAATCCATGTCATAAATGACTCATGGAAATCCCATACTGCATTCAGGTCTTACATACTGTGTTTCTGACACTGCATGACATTCAAAATGGGTGAGTGTGGAGAGGGCTTTGGGGAACAGTATGGATATCTTCATTATAGCAAGAATTCTATTTAGCTAGATAGACATTCTGCATTTTCTCCCCCAACCCCCACCCAAGACTTTATCCCTTCTTTCTAACCAGTTATGGAAAGGACTCTAGTGTGAGTATGGAGGGAGAAACAGGACTGTATCTTTTAATTATACCATCCAGTAGTTAATAAGGAGAGGGATTTGGGAGTTTCTTTACAGTATCAGAAGTTTGTTCATTGAATCTTTCTATCGGGAAGTTAAAAATATGCAATCACACCCTTAGAGCATGCTTCCAGTCATAAACCAATTCTCTTGGCTTTTCAATCAAAAATTACAAAATGAGGACAAGTTCTTTGCCATTAATATGAACTTTGCATGAAATTTAGATTCCAAATAGATTTATAAATTCATTAAATCCAGTTATTTTTCTGACTGTTGCAAGTTCACCGGATAGCACAAAATATAATCAGGTAACACTGAGGCACTGGCTGGAGCAGAGGCAGAGGTGGGGCCTTGCTCACGCTCCTCTGTCATTCTCTGGAATCCCTGCTCCCCCGGAAGAGCAGTGCTGGTCAAGATCAAGACCTCTTGTTCTGAGACCCAAGAAGATTCCTGCTGTAAGTCACGCAGCTATTTATCTGTACAACAGAGCCTGAGGCCTGGTCCTCCTGCTCACATTCTTTCTTCTGTACCCTTCTTTTCAATAATAATGTGGAGGCACATTTTCAAATACTAGAAAATAATTATTTAAAAATTCTGAAGTAAAATGTATAAGTTTTTTGTCTTTGCCTTTTGCTCAATGTTATGATCACTTCAAAAATTAATATGAATAACCATTAAGTAATTAAAATTAGTGACTCCCTTTCAGAGATATTCTTTGCTTCTTCCAAAGCAGTATTACATATATATGTGTGTGTGTTATGTATATATCTGTAGATCTATGTCTATAGATATCTATAACTAGATATAAATATGACAAAAATACTAATTATAATAAATATTTTCTGAAGGAAAAAAGTAAAAAAAGAAAATGTGGAGGCACCTTGCAGACAACCTTTCATTTTTCAATAGTGATTCCATAAGAAAAAACCCATCACTGTTGAATTGATTCTTACTCATAGTGACTCTATGGGACAGAGTAGAACTGTCCCATAGGTTTTCTAAGGCTGTAGTCTTTATGGGAGCAGATTGCCACATCTTTCTCCCATAGAATGGCTGATGGGTTCAAACTGCAGACCTTTCAGTTAGCAGTGGAGTACTTTAACCACTGCACTACCAGGGCTCCTTCATTTTCCAATAATCAAGAAAATATATAAAAATCAAAAGGATCCCTATGCTGTACAAACCAAGCCTGTCTGAATCCAGATCTCTCCATTTTGTAAGGTTAGAACACAACCTCCCTCACACTCAGGAGGCAAGTTTTAGGCTGTGCACTGTGAGGAAAGGATCCTTGTGCCAAGAAGCTAGAGGAAAAGATGGGCTGGGAATAGCCAAGGGACCATGTTCCTGAGCTCCTCTCTTCACTCTTCAATGGAGGAGGGGGTGATATATTCTTGCCTAAGGAGCCCCTGTTTAACAATAGAGGCTTGATTAAATTTAGCCTGCCACTATAATCCTACAACCCATCTCCCTGATTAACCCACAAAGGACAGCTTCAGGAATAAGCTAGCCCTCTTGTCTTCTACTCTAAAATTATGCCAAAAGCAAAATTAGTCTACATGCTTAAACAAATACTAAGGCTGACCATATTTTGACTTCTAGTTGGTTAATTAAGGCTTTGCATGATGTTTTAACACTTGAGGACTTCCCAGTTCTCTGCCTAGTCTCCATCTTTTATCTTCCAAGTAACCCTCAGGCACTTTTTTTTTTTTTTTTCCAGTGGCATTTTGGCAGCAGCAGAGCCCTCTGACCTCGAGGAGGCTAGGAGAGAGTGGGCATCTGGGTTCCTAGAAACTTTCTTTAACTCACTTATCTAAGCAACTTCCTGGTCTATTTGAGGCACAGCCCACTTCCCCCCTGCCTGTCACTGATAGAGCTCTAGCCAGCAGCCCTCCTGATATTCCCAACAGGCAGCCCTTGGCCTTATCCAGCCTAGAGGAATGACTTGACTAGTTTAGAATTAACTTGTTCTATTCTAAAACACTGAAGCCACAAATGTGGGGTTTCGATCATGGCCGTATCACAAAAACATACACAAATTACGGCAGTTCAGGACTGTTTGTGAAATGCGTGATTAACATGGAACCTACATTATCCCTATTTTCAGGAAGAAAATGAGATCCCTGCCAGCGTGTTTGTGAAAGAGCCGGTTTCCAGTGCAGCAGAAGAGAAGGAGGGGCTGGCTGATGAAAACAAGTCTCTGGAGGAAACCCTGCACACGGTGGACCTCTCATCAGATGACGAATTGCCCCACGATGAAGAGGGTCTGGAAGGCAGTGACGAGGAGAAGACGGAAGAAAGCAGGGCAGAGAAAATAAAAAGATCCAGCCTCCAGAAAGTGGACAGCCTCAAGAAAGCTTTTTCACGCCAGAACATCGAGAAAAAGATGAGCAAGCTGGGAACAAAGATCGTGTCTGTAGAGAGGAGGGAGAAGATTAAGAAATCTCTGGCTTCCAATCACCAGAAAATCGCCTCAGGAAAAATCTCCCCCTTCAAGGTTTCTCCACTCAGTTTTGGTCGAAAGAAAGTCCGAGGAGAAAGCCCTGTAGAAAGTGAGACCAAATCAGAAGATATGCCTGGCAGTGACCAGATGCTGAATGACCACGAGGAGAGTTCAGTCACAGAGGGTCTTTCTGAAGCATCTATGGTGGAGGAGAAGAGCACAGAAGGGGATGCTGAGAGGCCAGCCTTGAGAGGCAGTGGTAACCTGGGGATGGACAGTAACATCGACTTGACCATTGTAGAAGATGAAGAGGAGGAGGCAGTGGCTGTGGAATACGCACAGAAGATCCGCTATGAGGAGAGCTACATGCAAACCCCAGAGGAGACCGAGAGGTCGGACCAGGAACCTGTGCAGCCAGCTGTGCTCCAAGTGGACCAGACAGCCTAAACGCACAGCCCGCTGGGTCCAGCCCCGACTTTTCATTAAATGGCTAACTAGAGCCTAGCAAGAAATGCCTGCACATCCCCAGCACTACTCACTCACTACCATGTTCTTGTCCAGGCAGCAATAATTTATTACATAGTAGCAGCATATATGTGACCAAAATTTATTATGAAAGCAATATGTCAGGGGCTCACTTCTTTCTAATTTGCTGTTAGGTTCTATTTATGTAGAATGTCTCCAAGTTTTGTCAGGAAGAGGAAGTGGAACAGTTGAAAAATACTAATCAATTTGCTTAGTCAAAAACAAACCATACTTTACATAGTGCCTAAGGCATTTGACTACTAACCAGAAGGCTGGTGGTTCAAACCCACCAGCCACTCCTCAGAAGGAAGGTTGGGCAACCTACTTCCATAGTGATACCACCTTGGAAACCCAAGGAAAGGTTGCTATGAGTCAGATCCCACTTGACAGCAGTGTGGTTGGTTTTTCTGGTTATACTTTAGATAGTAGTCATGAAATGTTGTTGGGTTTTGTTTTTTTTTTTTTTTTGGTCATTCCATAAGCTTGCTGAATATGTACCAATAATATATTGAATTTCCACTGTAGTCTGTGAATCTAATTAGTCTTTTAAGTATGTGATAAATAATATGCATATGTATTTAATTTAAAGATAAAACTACATTAAGAATAAAACGTCTACAGAAAGTAGGAGAGTGTTCAGTTGGCTACTCACGTAATAGAAGCCATTGTTTATTGCAAATGAAGGAAAAATTGGAAGACAAATAATTCAGTACTGAAGTATATGTAGGAAGGTCAGGACTATTGGAAGGTGGGGGGAAACTAAAGGAAAAGCCAGAAAATAGGAGAAACTGGAAACAAATGCCAAAGAGAATGAAGGACAAAGAAAAAACCTTCCTGCTTAAAGGTAAAATTTTTACAATATTACTATTGCATTTCACTGTTTAAATGACAATACTAAAGAAGTTTATATATCCTGGAATATGTCTTCACAGTATTTTTTACTATCTAATATTTTCAAATACTATAACAAATATATTTTACAGTGTTAAAGCTAGATTTGTTTTCTTAATAAATAAAAGATATTACAAATAATTCTCTAAGGAAGTTCAAAAGGATGCTGTCTCTTTAACATTGGAGTGAATAAAAGTCTTTGAATATTAATTAATATATACTCCCTTTTGTGGGAGGAGCTCTGGTGGCATAGTGCGTAAGGCATTTGACTACTAACCAGAAGGCTGGCAGTTCAAACCCACCAGCCACTCCTCGGAAGGAAGGTTGGGCAATCTTCCATAGTGATACCACTATCACTAAACCCAAGGAAACCCAAGGAGGGGTCCTATGAGTCGAATCCAACTCGATGGCAGTGAGTTTGGTTTTAGTTTTTGGTTTTTGTGGGAAGCTGGGTCTTAGTATACTTTAATGTTCTCCAAATTTGAAATAATGCTTATATTTGATATGATACAGTGTAGGTTTGTAAGATTAAAATCAACAGGTTTGGGGAGGAAGGATCCTCTTTTCCCTTTTTAATAGATAATGGTTATTTCATTGCAGGTCATATTACAGTTAGATACTAACCACACAGAATATGAATATGTTTTTAATTTCTTCAAGCATGCTAATTTTTATGTGTATGTATGTATTTATCAGACAGGGTTATTTCTACTGCTGCCTAACATTACACTGAACTATTACTTTGTTTTTTTATTACAAATGCTAATGTTTTAAGAAATCATTAAATTGTAGTTTAAAGGCAGTTGACCCCAGGGAGCAAATTGACTGCATTTAGTATATACCACAATGAATAACCTTACAGATATAGGTTACCAAAACAATATTAACCAACTATGCTATGTTTTAATCAAAGGTATAGGATTAACAAATGTATCAATGGCATAACCTATGTCTTGTTTTGCAATAATGTAACCCCCAATATTGGACTGTTGGACTAACAATGTCTGTGTTAAAGAAGACAAAATAAACCAAAAATAAAAAGTATATTATAATGTCAGTTTTTTGGCAGAACAATTTTAGAACAAGCAGAAAGAATTGATTTTTAAGCTGTACTCCAAACATTAATGTTGATTGTTTCAGTCTTGATTTCCCTATTAACTCTGCTTTCTTTTTCCCCTGATCTCGTTTATAAATCCAAGTCTCATTCTTCAAGTTTAACTTTCTTGACATCACCTTGCCAGCTCTGGAGAGCATCTGAATTTATTGCAGCAGCTTGATGAATTTGATAGTTCTATCTGCATTTTTATTGTATTGTACCAGACCTTATAATACCTTAAACAGTCCTGCAAACATGAATGTATTGAACTATATGTTCAGTTTATTCATGCAGATAAACCTTTGTCTTCTTCAGGGCCATACACTTGGTAGAAGACTTAATTTCACTCAGGGCCCAAAGCACTCCTGTTTAACCTTTATGGAGTTGCTGTCACTTCTTGCAGCCAAGGAGTTGGAAGATCCAGAGCTAATGCAGTGTTTACGTTTCCTTTTCGAAAATGCTTATTTCGTTTGCTGCCATAAGCCAGCTACATGTCAGTAGAAAACTGCACTCAAGCACTTTTTTTAGGTTTTACTGACAATCATATTTATTCTGTGTTCCACATTCAGAGCATTAAAATCCTAAGGAATAAAACAGAGAATTAGGCCAAATAATTGTTTGAAAACACATATTGTAGGGATTAGAGAGAGCGGCAATTGTGGAAATGGAAACTATATATTCTATATTATTGCTGAATTGTTTGCATCTTGGTGAGGCTGCAAAGTCCCCAAATTAGATATGACTTCTTCCCACCCATCCAATAACCCATTCTCAATATTGTGTGCCTGGAGCTCAGGAAATGTTTCATTTTCCCCGAAGATTGGTTATACATTAATAAGGACTGAGATCCATAGAAATACTATTCAAGAATAAGAAGTGTCTATTATATATATCACAAATCTCACAGAAATACAGCAGAAATGTCATTTTTCTACAAGGTTTTCCTTTAGAGAGAAAAAGGAAGAAGAAGGAAGGAAGGAAAAAAATGAAGAAAGATACTGCAACAGGAACAAATTTCCTCTTTCCATTAAGCAATCTAGGATATGGTTGAATTACTGGTTATTTCTACACATTAAAAATAAAGAGACTGAGGCCATAATCAGTTCTGCACGAAACAAAGATTTTTGGCATTTATTTCATAATGAAATCCCAAACTGTTTCTGCATTTAGCAATGGTTATCTAGAAGAGCAAGCTTTAAACCTCATGTGTTTCAACTCACTATCAGGAAACTAGAAGCTCCTTCAACTAGCCAAACTGCTAGTGTAAATAAAGGTTATAATGAAAGTCATTTTCTACATTAAGACACTAATGTGCAAGCCTAGTTAATTCCTGCTTGAAAGTTTGTTTACTGCCCTACAGCCCAAATCTAAGTGATTTTATATTGGAGATTGGGAGTATGAGGAACTGAAGTACAGGCAACAATCGTTATTAACAGTTCCATAGCAACCACAGGTCTTTTCCTAAAAACCAAGACTCTGCTACTGCAAAACAGGTTTCAGATGAAATTGGCGTTGTGACCTTTGTATTCTGCTTGATCTGGGTGTCTAGATAGAGACTTCTACGGCCAGGAACTCATTCCTAAAGGGAATAGGCAGTAATTCACATTATTAAAGGCACATTCTTCTTATTTCTTTTTCACCATTACAGTATCTGAAATTCTAAAATTATTTTCAATGTTCCACAAAAACTTCCCAAATTAAGAAGCCACACCTTAGCAGAACAGCTTGATGTTCATGCATTTAAATACTTTCTACAATAAAATCAATTCATTAAATATTTATTGAGCAATACAGCTTTCACTCCTCTCATTTGCAAAATTCCTTACTGTCCAAATCAGTAAGACATATATGAAAGGGAATTTTTCGTAGCTTATCTCATGACAGGCAGAGCACTCTGATGGCCACTAATAACGTGTATCTACAAAGTACCGTGATGAGAGGCCCCTGGGTGGTGGAAATGGTTCGTGTGTTGGCTGCTAATCAAAAGGTTAGAGGTTCAGTTCTACCCAGAAGTGTCTTGGAAAGAAAAAGACCTGGCAATCTGCTTCTGAACCTTCGGCCACTGGGGACCCTATGGAGCACAGTTCAACTCTGCTATACATGGGGTTGTCATGGGTGAGAATTGAGTCGACAGCAATAAGTTACTGGTTAACCACATGCTAGACTTGAGCATTATCTTATTTAATCATAAAAAAATCCTATTAGGAAGGTAATATTTTTATACCTGACTGCAGAGTTCTTAACCACTCTAAATTCTCATTTGTTATAAGTTAATTATTATTGCATTGAGAGTCACTGAGCTCAAGTGATGTGACCAAATTCACATAACTAGTAAGTGGCAGGGCCGGTGTTCATGCCACTGCTAAAGCATATTCCTAATTATATCCCACAACTGTGCTGAGTTATGAATCACTTTATAAGCTCTCCAATGACATAGTAATATTCCGCTTTTAGTGTCCCTCATACAGTGTCATATACAGAGCTTCACTTAGTAAATGATTTTGATGATTGTCATGCCAAACATGCTACACAAACCAGCACACAGTTTAGGAGAGCCACAGAGATACTATTATTCAGGTTTGCTAAGGCCATAGAGAAGCTCCTGATCATCCTGGTGTCGTCTTCTGTCAGAAGCTGCAGGGTTCACTTTGGGGCAAGGTTTAATAAGGGCAAGCTGTCAACCGGAATTGCCTAATTCGAGGATGGCATGTGAAGTCTGCCTCAAACTTTTTAAGTTAAAGGAGTTTTATTCTTGTGTCAGACTAGGGAAATCATATCTTGCCTGGACACATCTTCTCATCCAGCTAAAAAAATAAGAAAATGGCAAATCAGCATTGAGGGGGAAGAGAGGATGGGAGTTCAGGAAATCAGGTGCACCATGAAGATATGGAAAGCTAGACTTTGAATATAATTCCTGTGAAATCATTCAGCTATC